GGGTCGGGTACGGGTTGGGAGTGTTACAGCCGAAGCACTCTGCACTTCCAAAAGTATTATGGCTTCATCGAAACGAATTCTATTTCTAGTTTCTTCATGAATAGAGACAACTGAACCCCACAAGTACCCAATTTCATAGAAAATTTTATTGCTCCACACCAATAGTGGGACATCTTTTAATATAACCCATATTTTCCTGTTAAGTCTGTGATCATAACCTTCTAAAAATTCTAATTCATCAAACCAGGATCGTAGCCAATCATCTCTGTTATCCCAACACGCCTTACGCTCCATTTCCCCCTTAACCTGAATGACCACCAGCAACTCTTGCCAGATACTAACCCTAATACCAAACCCTTCAGCCATGAAGGCTGTGTGAATAATATCCTCATTATACATCCTTTTGATTTTGCCGACCAAATAGGACTCTCTCCACCTCATCTCATGCTTAGGTACCATAACATTCGAACTTGATGCTAGTTTATTCCGACTTAAATTTAGAGTGCAACCATCCGAAATGCTGACATGAATAACAGCACCCGAAGCAACTATACCAGTTTGCTGGATCGCTTTAACCTGATCTTGAGACAGACCAACATTATCATTCCTGCCGCCCAAAACTTCCTTATAGGACCTTGAATCTCTCAAAGCCGGCTTCCACATCCTCTTCACCGGTTTCCCAGACTCATATCTATTGCTTATTTGACCTGATGATTTCTCATGGTAAACTTTAATTCTATAACCGTCCATTAACCTCCCATCTACCCTCCGAACCGCTACACTGGCTTCATGCTTGCTTCTATACTTGACAAATGCAAATGTGGATCTATCAAATAGTCTCCTTCTGTTTCTGAATGCAATAAAAACATCCACCACTACACCATACTCCATGAAAGCTTCCTTTAAAGTAGACTGATGAATCCTCTTGCTTACATTATTGACAAACTTGAAATTGCCGTCATGGGACAATCTTAAAACAGAGACTTTTACACTTATCAAATCTTAATGATGTTTGGAACAGAACAGCAAATCATCATTCATCTTAGGTTGTTCAACGTCCACAATATCGATTGATGCAAGTGGGGTCTATTTATATATCCATGGCGCAATCAACGCAGTAAAACCTAATTCATTCAATCTTTTGCGTTGTGAAACTTAAAAAAGAAAAGTTTATTTTTAAAACAAATGACGCATCCTACTATCTCACAATCTTTTAACTTGTCATTAGCTGATTATGATGTCTAACTTGTTGATATTTAGGTAGATTATGGTGAATCCGAATTTAATCTGTATACTTTTATTTATATGAAAAATAAATAAATTTATAAAAGTACATGTAATGATAAAATAAAATATCAATAATTTAAAATTAAAATTTAAAGATACAAACGATTATATACTTCTAACATGAATTATAAAAGAGAGATGAAAAGATAGAAGACGTTCCTCATAATGTATAAAACTTTGTTTCTGTTTAGGAATATTTATGTGGATTAGAACCCAGCTCATCAGTGATTGTAAATAAGGGGTAAAATGAAAGTTTGGTCATCAAACATGTTTGTAATTGTTAAACGAACTTTAAAAATATTATAGAATGCTAAACGAACTGAACACGAACAATATATTAAAATTTAAGCGAACATAAATACTTCTAAAAGTAAAAGAATACGAACATAACTTTATTCATTAAAACTTAATTAATTTACACTCTATTTGACCCTAATGAACCGTCCCCATCACTGGAGAAAAAAAATAAGCATACACAGTTTTGATATAAAGTTTTTATGACTTTACATGCGATGATTCAGTTGAAATAAATTATAGAATTTAAATTATACAAAACTTGCAAAAAATGTTAAAAGAATTTAAATGAAAAATAAAAAACGTAAGGCTTTGCAATTTCTATTTAAACCGGTTTATTTATAGAAAAATTAAATATAAAAAATATGTTCTAAATATTTAAAAATAAAATTAAATATGTTATTTTATATGTTTTTGAACCTTTTCACTTATTTAAATGATTTTTTTTGTTGATTCTTTAATTATTTTTTAATTTTATAATACATAATTGGCATAATGGGTTGTGTGTAAAGATATAGAAGAGAGTCAAAATTCAAGGATGATATTTTGGCAAATTATGTTTTAAGATTTTCAACATTGCTGACTTTTACAAGCACGTGGTGGAAATATTTTGTCTCTCAAAAGCGGAATGGTGAGAATACTATACTTAATTAGTTGAATTTTTGATCGATTAATACTTTTTAAAATTCTAATTTTAAATATAATTGTTTTCAATAGAAGGGTTTTGATGTTTATGGATTATATAATTTAGATATATAATTGGTTAAATTTTCTTTATTTTTGTTAATTATTTATGGAACAAGTTTGTCTCATCGGTCGTTAACGATTTACGTATTTATGCAGTTGTTGAAGTAATAGTTGTTAATCGATGTTTCTCTTTAAGAGATATAAAAGGATAAAGAGATGCTGAGTGATGTGAAGAATGAGAAGAAAAATAGAGAGACTTCTATCGGGTTTGTCTGATGGGCTTTTAAGATAATCTTTTGATGATTGATGTTAGATATAAGAACATCATGTTTATTAGTATGCTAACATACTATACAAATATAACTGACAACTATTAGATTTGACTCTGTCAAATGTCACGTCAAAGATTGAGGAGTATGAACTCTGGAGAGTGATACCGACGAATGATAGTTTCGAAGATGGTGTGGTGTCTTTGGAGAACTTCTAGAGGCTGCTCAGAGGGTAAAGTTATCCGAAAATATTTATTGATGAAAATTTGATAGTTTTTGAAAGATCTTCTTTAAATTATAACAATTTTTATATAAGAAATATTTAATTTATAAATGTAAAAAGAGAGAGTAGATATTGAATTTGAATCTAAATTTTTATTAAGAAAATATTTATGTAAAAAATTAAATTTATAAAAAATTATTTAATGAATAATCATAAATATAATGATAAAGAATTTATATACAAATCTTTATCAATCTTAATTTAAGAATGAATATGAGACTTGAACTATGTAGATTCCGATCTAATCCTATGGGATCATTTTTTTTAAAGATCAAGTTTAAGTTAGGTAAGATGTTCTGAATTATATGGTCATATCGGATTGAATAAGATTTTTTTTGAATGATAAAGTCGAGTCAGGTCAAGTTTGAGATAAAAAAAATATTTAATTCAACTAAAAAATAATATAAATTTATCATTTACATATTTAAAAATAATTACAATAATATCACCTTTCTATATATATTTCAATTAAATTCTGATTTTACTCAATAAAAATAAAATTATTAAATTCATGAGCTAATAAAAAATAAAATTGTGAAATTATGAAATTCATAAACTACACATTTTATTTTTTAAAAAGTATTTTCAAAATTTCCGGTAATTATGAACCCAAAATGAAAGACAAAAAGGCTTATTCACGAGAAGTTGTACTTTTATTATATGCCACAAAATGAAGATTATTTAATTTAAACAAAAAGGTAAAATAATTTGAATCAACATAGCCCCAACGTTCAAATTACAATCACGATCCTCGTGGTCCATCCAACGGTCCCAATAATTTTGGACAAACACTACATGTAATAAAAATACCACGACTACTTTGTCAACAACATATGTAAGAAAATTCACATTAAATAATACATAGTACACCGACGACTTGTATTTTATCATAAAATATGTTTTAATTTTTATTTTTTTAAAATGGGTACGAGGGTCAATTTTACCCAGATATTTGTGTGCGAGAAAAAGAATTTTTTCATGTTAATTTTACCCAGATAAATTTTATAATTAAAATAAATCTATTGATTTTACAAAATCAATTTAATTAATTTAGAATATGTCATGATAATTTCAAATAACATAACTCATTCACTTAATTCATTATAATTTAACTTAAATGTTACATTCAATCAATAAATTAGATTAAATAAAATGATTTGGATCAAATTACAATTAATCAAATAAACATGATATGTAACTTTCAAAATGACATATCATATTTTAAATAATACTATATTGCTTTGTTGAGTCCATCGACTATTAAAAGTTAGAAAATAGTCATCCGACTATTCATATATTCTAAACTCGTCCTTTTTCAGGTAATAAAATTAATAGTCGTCTGAGGTGGACTTTAACATGCTAACTGAGACACGATAATCGTTTGAGATTATAAGATTAGATTTTAACATAAATCAATCAGCATGTTAACTTCTAGTTCATATAGTTGTCAATTTTTTAACAAAAAATGACGAGTTTGGAACATATGAATAGTAGGATAATCATTTTGTGACTTTTAATAGTAAGAGGACTCAAGAAAGCGTCGCCCTATAGTCGAATGATCATTTTGTAACTTTTAATAGTCAAGAGACTCAATAAAACTACACCTACAATTGAAGGACCATTTGTATACTTTACCCTTTCTCTTATATAGTATTGGTAAACTATACCGTTAGTCACTAATCTATTATATTTTTTATTAATTAATTATTAAATTATTCTTTTAATAAAAACATTATTAACGCTACTTTTAAATTTTAATCACTGATAAATAAAAATTTAACGATGGTATTAATATAATATTTTTTACTTTTACAAACAGGTAGTTATGTTAATATTTAAATGTAAGACTAATTTAAGACGAATTTCAACTTATAATGTTATCAAGTTTGACTTAAAAATCTATATAAATTTATAACATTTTTTGTTGCAACTGAAACTACACTAAGATATTTAAGGTTTACAAATGAAAATTTAATAAGAATACAATATTTTTTGTTACAATTGAAAATGTTAAAAAGACTACACCTTTAATAACATTTTTATTATAATTTATTTATATCTTTTTTAATCTTATATTAACAAATTGTATTTTAAAATTTTCGCTGTTCACTTGTTATTTTATTTTAATACCCTATTTGTATTGGTACTATAAGGGGACATTGTCTCTCAGAAACTGGCAGATGTTGAAGCAAAGTTATAATTGACATTTCAGTTTTCTTTTGAATCTTTTCATGCTTTGATTTTTCATCATTATACCTTCCTCTCTACGTGAAGGAAAGAAACACAAAACCGTGTCTTCCAATTCTTCATCTTCACTTCCATTTTTCATGATAATCTTATAATTTCCCTCCTTCAAAGTTCCTTTTCCCCCCCTCTTCAGTGTCAGATCCAACATCACTGGGAAAATTTTATAAATTTTCCAAACATTCTCTCTGATCTGATCAACACCCATTTTCCAAAATGCAGATTCTGAGATGGTTTTTAAAGGTTTTTGTCATTTGTTCAATGCTTCAAGTGTTTCCATTGACACTACCTCAAACAATCTCAAAAGCACCTGCAAATTGTTCGGATGCTGATAGGGCTGCCCTTCTTGGATTCAAAGCCAAAATCTTGAAGGATAGTACGGATAGTTTTTCTTCATGGATTGGGAGGGATTGCTGTGGAGGTGATTGGGAAGGCGTGGAGTGTAATCCAGCGGGGAGAGTCAATACATTGGCATTGCAAAGACCAGTAAGGGACAGTACCCTTTATATGAAGGGCGCTTTGTCTTCTTCCCTGGGGAATCTACTTTTCTTGGAAGTGTTGGTCATCAGTGGGATGAAGCTTATCACAGGTCCAATCCCTGAGAGTTTGTCCAATCTAACTCGTCTCAAGCAATTGGTCTTGGAAGACAATGGTCTCCAAGGGAACATCCCTTCAGGTTTAGGGCATTTACCCTTCCTTCAAACTCTTTCATTGGCCGGTAACCATTTGACTGGGACAGTCCCTCCAAGTTTAGGGAATTTGAGAAACCTTGTGCTGTTGAACATGGGGAGGAACTCATTAACAGGTCCAATCCCTTCTAGTTTCAAAACCCTTGTTCATTTGCAGTCTTTTGATCTCAGCTTCAACTTGTTCTCTGGCACTGTCCCTGAATTTTTAGGACAGTTTCATAACAATACTTTCATTGACCTCTCAAATAATAAACTTTCAGGACACCTGCCTGTTTCGATGTTCAATTTAGTATCTTTGTCAGACCTGTCATTGAGCCACAACCAGCTCACAGGCAGTATCCCAGACCAGGTTGGAAACCTTAAATCTCTCAATAGTCTGTCATTGAGTCACAATAAGTTCATAGGTCCTATCCCAGGATCTATTTCAGGGTTACAGAAACTTTGGTCCCTAAATTTGTCTAGAAATGGATTCTCAAATCCTTTACCAGCTATTTCCAGTAAGGGTATCCCTTCACTTTTGTCAATAGATCTGTCCTTTAACAACCTCAGTTTAGGGACAGTTCCTAAATGGATCATAGATAGACAACTTTCAGATGTTAACCTAGCTGGTTGTAAAATTAGAGGAGCCTTCCCAAAGTTCAGACCAGATTCATTGAGCTCCATTGACCTGTCTGATAACTTTCTTACAGGGAGCATTTCCACTTACTTCACAAACATGACAAGTCTTCAGAAGCTGAAGCTTTCGAATAATCAACTGAAGTTTGATCTTTCGGAACTCGTAATGCCGGATGGGATTTCCACCGTCGATCTCCATTCGAATCAGGTATTCGGGTCGCTCTCGAGCGTTTTGAACAACAGAACAAGCAGCTTCTTGGAGGTCATAGACGTGTCCAACAATCTCGTTTCGGGCACAATACCGGAGTTCACTGAAGGCTTGAGTTTGAAGCTGTTGAACATAGGAAGCAACAAGATTGCTGGCCCAGTCCCAGGTTCAATCTCGAATCTTGTTGAGCTCGAAAGGCTGGATGTTTCGAGGAACCAGATAACCGGCACCATTCCTACAAGTTTAGGTCAACTAGTGAAACTTCAATGGCTCGACGTTTCCGTCAACCAGCTGACCGGAGAAATCCCGAGTAGCTTATTGGGTATAAAGTCCATGAGACATGCAAACTTCAGGGCAAACAGACTATGTGGGGAGATCCCACAAGGGAGACCTTATAACATCTTCCCTGCCTCAACTTATGCTTATAATCTCTGCCTGTGTGGCAAACCATTGCAGCCTTGCAAAGGAAAGAAACAAGAGATGGGCCAGTGAAATGCCTGTCTAAATTAGCCAAAAGTAGATAAACATTAGTAAATTTCTAGCTCAATTTCTTTGAAATACTATGATTATGGAACATACCTTGTTTCAATATAATATCGAACACATGCGCATATAGAGCAATCACTCCCGATCTCGAGTAACATCGGATCACGTTCATTCTATCGGCACTCTTGGCTTGCTTCAAAGCCTTCTCATACTCTGCATTCAAACTCGAATTCAGCAAGTTAACCGATAGGTAGTCCAAATGATACGATATCGATCGTTAGGATTCGATCGAAATGTCTTCCGGATGATAATTTGTCGACTTCTTTTGAACGAATCGGAAGATCCCTCAACACATAGGCTTCCATTTCTCACCGCCTTCATTTTGCAATCTAAATTCCATCAATCAGATGCTTAATAGCTAATTAAAAGTAAAAATGAAGCTTCTCTGTATACATGGATTCGAAGATCAGCGTCGAAGTCTAAATAGAGAGGAAATGAGACCGTAGAGAGAAGGGAATATGAATTGAAAATAGGGTAAACTACGTATTTAGTACCTAAACTATTACTTTATTTCATTTTGGTACCTAAACTTTTTTTCTCTTCAAAATCATACATAATGTTTAGTTTATGTTTCATTTTGATATCTTGCCGTTAAAAACTTAACGGTGGTATTGATGTGTTACCATAAGATAATTTCACGTCAATCAATATAACATCGTCATTATGGTTTGTAACAATACTAAGTTGAGGGTGTTAAATTTAGTGATATAAGAGTACAAGTTTAGCCGATTCTAAGACTAAAGTTGAGACATGTTATGTGTTGTGTGATATTGTAAAATTTTAAATTACTTACGCCACATACAAATTTATATTGTTATTGATTCACTGATTTGCAACAAATGTAATTTGCTTTTTATAGTTCCCAAACTAGTTATAATCCTAAAATCTCAAACAAATTAAATTGAAGTCAATTATACGTTTAAATATATTGAAATCAACGATATCTTAATTTTAATATTTTCAAAACTAGATTGAAAGTCTAAATGACCATGTCACCAGCTTAGAATCCGAGCAATTCAATGAATGCAAATAAATATGCTATAATTTTTTTGTCGATCAATAATTTCTTCATTTATTTTGTTAAATTTGGAAGCTTTTATGTAACATTCTAAAATTGATCTAAAAATATTTGATGTCATTACGAGTGTCACATTCGAGGTATTAGAGATACCTACAATTTAGTTGTGTCATAATCGTTTTTAGATGGAACAATATTTTATTGTTTTAAAAATAGTTACGACTTAATTTTTGAAAATGGAGTGATTTGGAATTGATTTGGATAAAATTAGATAGAGTCACCATCAACCTTTGAGTTAGGTAGGACGAATACCTAAAAAACGTCTTTTAAAATTTTTTTTAAGAAAAATCGTTTTTTAAGACAAAAGTTGTTTGCGTTTACCAAAGATTCGATTAAAACGGGTTCGAGAGTCGGTTACACGTGAGGAAGGATTAGCACCCCCACAGCGCCAAAAATTGGTACTGTTTCGCTTACACGTTGTCGTAATGGTGGAAATCCTGAATCAAGTATCAAGTTAAAATATGACTCATTTATTAAATATTAATAACTTGCTTCAAATTAATTAATTAAAGAAACTATTTTACTTGAATAATAGATCTAGCAAAACATGAACTTCAATGATTAAAATGGTAAAAACAGAAATTAAAAGGTTAAAATAAAATAACAGAAACCAAAGTGTCAAAATCAGAAAAAATACAAAGATAACCGTTTAGATTTTATTTCTCTGATCTGCCGTCGTCCACCGTCCGATCGTCCTGATTTTTCATTATGTTGTTCGTGTTGACATCGCACAACTTTTCACCGTTCGGAATATTGATCGGAGATCCCGATCGTCGGCAAGAGGCCTAAAGCCGTCCGAATTTGTTTTCTCTGATCCGCCACCGTCCGATCGTCTTGAATTTTCAGTATGTTGTTCCTGCTGGCCTTGCTCAACTTTTGACCGTTCGTAATGTTGATCGGATGTCCCGATCACCGACGAGAATCCGACAGAATGCAAGAGGTGTTGCTGATTCAACTCCATATGTGATGAATCGATCAAGAATGACAATGTTGATGATGCTGATCCAACTTCGTATGCGATGGTTTTGAGTGAAATGAAAACATCGATCCATCTCCTTCTGTGATGAAATCGAACAAGATGTCGATGATGATCTATCTCTTTCTGTGATAGAATCAAGCAAAAAATTGATGCTGACCCAACTCCTTCTGCGATGGATTTGAGCGAAATGAAAACATCGATCCACCTCCTTTTGTGATAGTGTCGAATGGGATATCGATGATGGTCTATCTCTTTCTGTGATAGAATCAAGCAAAAAGTTGATGCTGATACAACTCCTTCTACGATGGATTTGAGTGAAAAAAAATGTCGATCTACCTCCTTCTGTGATGGAATCGAACGAGATGTTGGTGCTGATCTACATTCTTCTGTGATAGAATCGAGCTAAAAGTTGATGCTGATCCAACTCCTTCTGCGATGGATATGAGCGAAATAAAATGTCGATCCATCTCCTTCTCTGATGGAATCGAACGAGATGTCAGTACCGATCTACCTCATTCTGTGATAGAATCGAGCAAAAAGTTGACGCTGATCCAACTCCTTCTGCGATGGATTTGAGCGAAAAAAATATCAATCCATCTCCTTCTGTGATGTAATAGAACAAGATGTTGGTACTGATCTACCTCCTTCTGAAATAGAATCGAGCAAAAAGTTGACGTTGATCCAACTCCTTCTGCGATGGATTTGAGCGAAAAAAATGTTGATCCACCTCCTTCTGTGATGGATTTAAACGAGATGTTGGTGCTGATCTACCTCTTTCTGCGATTGAATCGAGTTAAAAGTTGACGCTGATCCAACTCCTTCTGCGATGGATTTGAGCGAAAATAAAAATATCGATCCACCTCCTTCTGTGATAGATTTGAACCAAGGTTGAACAAGTTATTCTCATTATGAACTTCTTCTCCCTCGTCACATGAGTTCTTCTCATTATGAACTCTCCCATTGAAAAGTTGATCTACCTCCTTCTGTGATGAAATCAAACAAAGTTGAACAATCTCTTCATTATGAATTCTTTACTGGAAACGTTGATCGGTTTATCTTCTCATTGAAGATTTTCAAACCTGCAAAAGATTATCATGTGTCAGTAACTTGGTGTTTGAAGTACCCGAAGGGCCGAAGGTATTGACTCAAAGGTCATCGAATTTTGTCGTGATCTATTTCTTTCAAAGATGAAGACGTAAATTGATTCTTTGCTGAAATCTTCTTCAACATGGAATTGTGAAATGAAACCTCTGCTAACTCTGGAATTTCTGTCAAATATTCAATATTTGGATGAACATGAATAAGAAATCTATTTTAAGAAAAACTTTCTCAAGTGAGATAAAATTTCTTGTTTCAAGGGAAACTGTCTCAAGCGAGACGAAATTTTGTTTCAAGGGAAACTGTCTCAAGGGAGACAAAATTTGTTTCAAGGGAAACTATCTCAAAGTTTTTATGTTTCAAGGGAAACCATCTCAAGGGAGACAAGATCTTCTGTTTCGAGGGAAACTATCTCAAGCGAGATAAAATCTTCTGTTCCGAGGGAAACTATCTCAAGCGAGATAAAGATCTTCCGTTTCAAAGGAAACTATCTCAAGCGAGACAAAATCTTCTGTTTCGAGGGAAACTATCTCAAGCGAGATAAAATCTTCTGTTTCGAGGGCAACTATCTCAAGCGAGATAAAATCTTGTTTTAAGAAAAACAATCTTGAGTCAAATGAAATGTCTTCTTTCAAGTAAAATGGTCTCAAGTGAGACAAAGTCTGTTTTAATAAAAACAATCTCCAATGAGATAAATCCTCTGTATTAAATGAGACTGTCTCAAGCGAGACAAAATTCGTCTGGAAATGTTGAATCTGAAGATGATTGCTCCCTCTTGCAGAATATGTCTTGTTGTCTTTTACTCTCATTTTTTTCTTGAAAGATCTGTAAAATGTAGTTGAATGCAACTATCCTGATGATGGATGTTTGATGCAACGATGCAAATTCATGTATGTATAATGCATGATCGTCTTGATTAATAGTAGTGAAAATGTGCATAAGCAATCTTGGTTTCTTCTTGATCTGTCCGTCTTCATTTTTCTCTCACACCAGGGTGTACCATCGTATTTCTTTGTAAACATTTGCTTTCTTGGCTCCCTGACATTCAAATTCTTTGCCCCAATTTCTGATTCTGAGCTTTTGGGTCTGAGGGACCTCTGTTAATTTCCAGGCTAAACTCTCTAGAGAGATTGTCCTATTTGAAAATGTTTTCTTTCTTCTTTTATTTTCAAGATATGAAAATATCAATTAGAAGTGTTTTGAAAAATGTTTGATCAAAAAGTTTTAAAAATATTGCCCATATCTCGGTTTCATAATTGAGACGAATCATAAAACTAGATTTATTGGACATCAAAGAATTAATTACATTGTTAATCCTTCAATAAATTATAGCTATTTGACAAGTGTCAAGATCAAAGCTATCTTTGGGAAATGGTTAAGTAATGAAAGGATAAAAAAGTCTCAGGTTATTATGTTTGGTCAATGGTTTGGCCTTATTTCTTTGATGTTCACTGATCTGATGGGGTGGTAGCTTGTATGCTCATCTGCTGGAAGTGTTCTCCGACTCCCAACTTTCATGGTCACGCTCGGATTGTGTGGTGCTTTATCAAGGAATTTGTGCGATTACCTTAGCTACACAATTTTTACATTTGAGCCGCCTTTTTAGGTTTTCAACTTGAATCCTCATTTGGTTTCAAGATGTCATTCAGAATTTACGTCTTGAACCCCCTTTGTTATTTTTCTCTATCATGCATTAAAGATTTTAGAAAACCTTTTGCAAATAAAAATTAATCCTGATGGATATGATGAAATCTGAAGATAGCATCTTCTGTCTAGAAATCCATGTATGATTAGAAGAGACTTTTTAAGGCACGTAATGTAGGCCATGGTTCATGGTTATGAAAGAAAAGGATAAGTAGGCCCAAACAAGTGTTTCAAGGTATTAAACCAATAATCAATTCATTCTGATGCCTTCAATCATGTCTTACTCAATTTGAATCTGTTTGTATATGTCTCTCTCTTGATGCTCTATGATCTTCGAGTGAAGTGATTCTGGAATAATTGTGCTTGATCAATCTCATGGTTTGAAGTTTGATGTGTAATTTGACTCGATCCTCGTCCTATTTTGCTTTTGCTTTTATTTTTTTCTTATTTTTCTTTCCTTTTTCTCTTTTCCTTTTATTTATTTTTTCTTCTTTTTTTCTTGTTGTTATTGTTGCTCTTTTTATTTGCTTTAATTTATTCTTCTTTTTTTCTTTTCTCTTTTTGTCCTGATTGGATCTTCGCACTTGGAATTTGGTTCACCTTTTGGTATCTCTTTTAGAATGATGTCTTCACTCATGTGAGCAGATTTCTTCCGCCTTGCCCCCTAGTGTGGAGGAGATCATTGGTTAGGGTTGAATCAAAAAAAATGTTATAGGCTCAAAAGGGGACAACAAGGGATATATATATATATATATATATATATGTGGAAAAATGAAACAAAGTCGTTCATCATCTCATACACAGAAGTCTTTGTAGAAGATGTATACCCAGGGGGATAGATTTTCAGGATTAATTCTATTCACATGAAAAATGTAATTAATGCATGATAGAATTATTTCGAAGTAATTTTCCTTTCTGCTTCTTGCTCCCAACATGCCTCAATTGCTCAGGCTCATCTTCAGAAGATTGCTTCGAGATGCCCCATAATGTTTATTCTGGTATGAAGGTTCATGTTCAAGTGAACATTCAACGTCTGCAGGTTTTATTAGTAAAAAATGTTGTTTTTGCGTCTAAGAATACAATGGTGTGAATTTATTGACTCAAAGGTATCAATATGACTCTCCATGGATTATTCTGGGTAAAGAATTGAAGGATTTTTTTGTTTTGTTTTTTTTGAACAGGATAAGAAAGGTCTGATCTTGCCATATGTCAAAAATCTATAATTCTTGAAAAATTAAAAGAATATTTAATTCATTTAATATTCAAAGAACTAAAGATTAAAACTCGTTCAATTATTCTACCTTAGAAGATAGCATAAATTCAGTTGTTTAAAAGATTCAAAGAATATGAAAGATCAAAACGTTTTCAAACAAAACAATGCTCTCAGTGCGAATAGTAGATGCAATGCCCCCTTCTTCGATTGTACATGCCCCTGAATCCATCAGGTCTTGGATTTTGCGCTTCAGTGCCTTATAATTCTCATATGAATGTCTGGAGCTTTCTATGCGGTAACTGCACATAGTTTTAACATCGTAGCCCTTAGGGTATGAGGACTCTTTTATCAGATCATCATGGCAGGCTTAGTCCTATAATTAGCTGATCAGGCTCCAACTGTACTAATTTCAATTTTTTCCTTAATTGTTCAAATATTGATTCCATGTGGTGTCACATGATTATGAACACTGCATCGAATCCTCCATGAATAAATTTCATGTTTATGAAAAATGCTTAAAAATGAAGTGTAGATGCAAAAATGCATGAAATGTTCGAGGCATTGATCCGAAAACATGTATGTTATTATAAATAATCATTATTGGGACAAAAGTGTTTTATCTTTTAAGAGACAAAAATATCAAAGGTATATTCTGAAAAAAAATCCTCTAGATCCCGAATGGCTTCTGACAGGCTGACTAGTACTTTGATTTTGTATGCCACCGGTTGGATACCCTGTCGAACCGCTCCGGCTTCTCTGGTTAAATTGTACAAGTGATGAGATGCTCTTTATACTTGTTTCCAGAAATATCGAATGATTGCATCTTTGGCATTCATCTTTTGTTGAACTTGTTCCCAACGAATATGCCATTGGAGCCTTCCATCAAAAGAAGTATCCGAAGTTCATTTGCATTTTTCTTGAATTTGTCAGCAATGGCCTCCAATTTCAACTATCACTTTGTCATCTTGTTCTTGTTGCCTTTGAAAAGACTCTCCAGATCAGCAACCTTCATCTTGCCCCTGCAAATTTTGCCAACTCAAAATGTTGACTTTTGATATGCTCGGTGTAAATCTCAGTCCGTTCTGAATCCTTTATAATGCAGTAGAGTGGAATATTCTTCGATTATGGGCACCATGTCTTCTTGGTTGAATTGTCTTGTAGATTGTCTCCCTGAGCATAGTCGGACCTTTGTGTTTTTCACCTCTTGTATTACAACCCCTTTGTCCATTAATGCAAATTATTAGGTTTAACGAACACGTTTTTGTGGATCAACACCTCTTGCATTATGTTATGACAATGCAAATGAATGCAGAGATATATGAAAAAAAATGACACAAACAAAAGAAGTGAGATAAGTTAGTGTACGCAAACAAAAAAGTGAAATTAGTTAGCACATGTAAGATAATTGATACAGATAAAAATGTCATTCAAAGATGAATATAACACCTACCCAGTCATGATATCTACTCGAGCATGCCTTTATTAGATAGTATTCCTACCCAAACATGCTTTCTACCATAAAGATGTATTTACAAGAAATGAATCCTAATCGCATGATATCTAGTTCACATGTTGTCATTCAAAAAAATTTAAAGCAAAAGGATAGGTTCAGAAACGCTCCTCCTTTGTGTACACTTAATTTGGGTACCTACTGACGAACAGAGGTTCAGTATGACTATGTCTATGGTGACTATTCTACGATTTACTATATGCATGGTTTTGGCTCTAATGGGAAAAATGTACTCGAATTGTCCTTAATGTTGGTTCCCCTTGGGCTACCAAACCCTCAATCATGGCCCATTACAGGCTCGTGCAGATCGAGTTCAGTTCGAGAGGATACATTTTCCTATGTCCATGCGAGGAAACTCAATGTTTCGCTCGTAAACATAAGGCATGTACCCCAAAAGTTACTTACTAAAGCTCATGCGGAGAAAATCAATTTTTCTCACGTAAGCGTAGCGTTCACCATTACCTAACGGGAAAAAGCTCGTAAGTGAGCTTATGGTATGCAAATGCCCATGATGTGTGTGAGGATGAACATTCAACCCTTTGACTCATAAGGAAAATGACACCACTTGATAAAAACTTGGACAGATCTGAAAGCAAAAAGCAAAATGTTAGTATAACAAAAAATGAAGCAATTACAAACTTCAAAAAATGATCATAAGTTAACTAAATATTCGAACTCATAATTTCTACCAAACGACAATGTATAAGCGACTAACAGCCTGACTCTCTAAAAAGTCCCTAGCAGAGTCGCCAAGCTGTCATAACCGTTTTTAGGTGGAATAATTTTTTATTGTTTTAAAAACAGTTACGACTTAATTTTTGAAAATGGAGTGATTTGGAATTGATTTGGATAAAATTGGATAGAGTCGCCATCAACCTTTGGGTTAGATTGGTCGAATACCTAAAAAACGTCTTTTAAAAACAATTTTAAGAAAAATCGTTTTTTAAGACAAAAGTTGGTATGCATTTACCAAAGATTCGATTAAAACAGGTTCGTGAGTCGGTTACACGTGAGAAAAGATTAGCACCCCCACAACGCCCAAAATTAATACTGTTTTGCTTACAGGTTGTCGTAATGGTGGAAATCCTGAATCGAATATCAAGTTAAAATATGACTCATTTATTAAATATTAATAACTTGCTTCAAATTAATTAATTAAAGAAACTATTTTACTTGAATAATAGATCTAGAAAAACATGAACTTCAAGGATTAAAATGGTAAAAATAGAAATTAAAAGGTTAAAATAAAATAACATAAACCAAAGTGTCAAAATCAAAAAAAATACAAATATAACCGTTTAGATTTTATTTTCTCTGATCTGTCGTCGTCCACTGTCCGATCGTCCTGATTTTTCAGTATGTTGTTCGTGTTGACATCGCACAACTTTTTATCATTCAGAATGTTGATCGGAGATCCCGATCGTCGGCAAGAGGCCTAAAGCCGTCTAAATTTGTTTTCTCCGATCCGCCACCGTCCACCGTCCGATCATCTTGAATTTTCAGTATGTTGTTCCTGCTAGCCTTGCTCAACTTTTGACCGTTTGGAATGTTGATCGGATGTCACGATCACCGGAGAGAATCCGACAGAATGCAAGAGATGTTGTTTTCTATTTTTCCTTTTTCCTTCTCTCCGCGTATGGCCTCTCCTCTCTTCTATCTATGGCCTCCTCTCTTTTCTCCTCCCTCCCCCCTTTGACCTCCATAACCTATTACATATATATAGCATAAGAAAATAATTAGTATAAGTGGATGAATAAAACATGGAGTGGTGGAAAGGTTGGTGAAGGCATGAAACATGGGATAGGTGGATTTAGTGGATTTTAGGTTTAGTGCTTGAGTAATAATAATAATTTTTTGATCCGGACAAAAATGAGTGTCTACAAGTTGATTTAAACTAAAATTAGATAAAAATATAACATGTGTGTAAAATAAATTTAAAGCTCTAATCCAATGTATAAAAATAAATACCAAGTATTGACTAGAGTTTATAAACTAAAATAAGTCATAAGGTAATATGATAATATATGCCCACTAAAGAGAATAAGATATGTACTCTTTATCAATTATTGTTAGAGTTTTTCTGTTGATATTGATGCTTGAACTCGTACACCAAAACTAATGATATACACACGAAAAATAATTTAGTACACAAAATTTTACTAAGCTCAGTTATGCCAGTATTATGTTATATAAAACATATAAACCTAAATAAGTAAAACATAATAAATGTACAAAGCAAATACATACTCATTAAGAAACAAATGGTAATCACCATTTTTATTTTTACCATTATTTCTAAACCCACCAATAGCTTCCAGCTGTCCTCCACGCCTACAACAACTCATGGTTACCCTTTGTTCACAACATTACGCCACAACAGCCTACACACGCGCCAACAACATCCACCCAGCTGGTTTCCTCACCCGACAACAATAAAATGTCATACAATAATCCTAAATATCATTTTAACTTCGAAATAATCCTAAATACGAAATATCAAAATATAAAATAAAAATGCATTGGGCAATAAGAGAACACTCACTTAGAAATGTGTTGAGTTAATCGATCGATGGAATCGACCAAGAAGGGGGTGAATTGGTAATTAAAAGTTTGGTGGAAGCTTTTGCAGAAAATTGAAAATATTTGCACAATGATTTAGAGTGGTTCGACTTTCTCAACCAAAGTCTACCTCCACTAACTTAGCTATCCACACTAAGGATTTTCCAACAAATTCACTAATTTGTTCTTTCTTTTGAGGCCAAAGAGATAACCTTACAAACTTCCTCAAGAATATACCCCAATTCTTGAGAACACTCTTTCTCAAAGAGAAGATTACAAATTTGCAAGGAAAACCTCACAAGGTAATATGTTTGCACAATTCTAGAACAAGATAAGAACACTCAAAGATGATTACAAATGAGCACAAATAGTATTCTTGAAAGTAAAATGAATTTTGAAAGGAAATTTGGCTTGAATTGCACAAACTTGATGTTTGATGTTTTCTCTCTTGTTTCTCTATTGATTCTTTTTTTTTTGTTGATCAATGACTTCTAGACTTATTTAAATACTCCTTCAAATGATTCTGAATGTTGGGGATGGTTAGTGGAGTCCAAACAGTCGTTTAAGTGTGAAAACAATTAATTAAAGCAGTTGGGAGCGTCAGTGCATCGATGCATCGGTGTAAAATTCAAATATTTTTACCGTTGGACCCTTAGTGAATCGGTGCACTAAGAGTGAACCGATGCATAAAATGCATTCGATGTTTCAAAACATCCAGAGTGCATCGATGCATAGTTTGTGCATCGATGCATCAAATGCATTCGATGTTCAATTTAATCCATGGTGCATCGATGCATGGATTGGTGCATCACTTTGAAAAATTGATTTTAGGCTTGATTTTGGTTCAAAATACTTTGTGAAAATTGTTTCAAAAATAGTTTAAGTATAAAACACAATTTTACACATTTAGTAAGGTTTGAAATTAATCTTGAAAGACTTGGAGTAATAATTTGATATTCGATTAATTAAATCAAATATTCTTAGAAAATCATTTGTAAAATCTTAAAATTCATTTAAACTTAATTTGTTATATCGAAACATCAAAATGTTTTCAACAATCTTCCCTTTTTTGATATAATAAAACATTTGTGTTATTTTAAGATTTTCTAAAGTTTGAAATGAATTTAGAAAAATTACTCCCCCTTACTATAACACTTCTCCCCTTTAACACTTAATATTTCTCCCCCTTTTTGTTAAATCAAAAAGACTTGAAAATGCTTTAAACAAGGTTTTGAAAAACATAGCCAATTGATTATAAGTAAATATAACTTAAGCTGCTAAGATCACAATCAAAAGAGAGATTAGCCATTTGTTCCATAATCAATATTCATAATTAAATGTGAAATGGCATAATTCATCATAATGTAACTAATATGTAAATGATGTAAAAATAAAAGTAATAAACATTAAGCTCATAATGAAAATTCAAACTAGGCCAAATATATATATATATTAAGTTCAAAATCCAATCATCCTAATCATAACTCCAAACACAAACAAATAGTTAAGAATCTAAAACAATCCAGAAACATAAAAAATAATCCAAGTTTGAAATACTAAGAAAGCATGGAGAAAAGGTCTAATCCATCGGAGGGTCGGGAGGAGGAGGATAATGAGCTCGAACTTCAAGAGTGAGCGCGTCCATACGTTCATGCAACTCTCGCTGAAACTCAGTAATCTGAGACTCCATGGAGGCAAACCTCAAATCAAATGACTCTAAGAAAGATAAAAAAATATGGTGGCGTTTGATCTTCTTGCCGTGCTCGTTCCGGTACAGGCCCATCGTCTGGTACATGATCGTCGATATCTTGCATAAGCTGTTGAAGCTCGGTATCATCAGCAACAGCCGCTGCCGGAGGATGAGGAGGAGCACGAGAAGAGCTAGGAGCAGCTTGTGAAGAACTAGCTCCCGGAGTTTGCTTACCGGGTCGAAAAACCCAAAGACCGATTTTCTCGTCTTGTTTCTAATCCGCTTTCTTCAAGGAGGTAAGATTGATTTGATTTTGGTGTGGGATAGGATTGTTGAGAGAGACGTTTAGACCGATTTTGATAAAAAGATTACTAAGAAGACATCCATAAATCAATGTTTCAACATGTTTTGAAGGAACAATGTTTATGATATCCACTAGTTGACTAAAAATAATGTGGGGCAGATTTATTTTGATCTTATTTTTAATACAGTGCATCCACCATAAATCCCTAGCACGAAGATTGGAGTACCTACCTCCGGATGGTCTAAACCACCAAAGAGATCATCAAATGAAGAAAACGATCGTGATGAGATCGTAGAGTACTAACACTAGAGTTTAGAATATAGGGATATTCCACATTTTCATTCTCATTGTATAACCCATCATCATCTAACCCAAAACGGAAAGCTATAGTCTCGGGGTCAATATTAATATATTGGCCTAAAAGATAGGATCTAATGGCTATAGTCCCACATTGAGTTTCGTTTTGAATACACACCGCATTAGAGTAGAAGATGCGGACTAATTGTTGATAGACGATAGGTTTGAGATGAAACAATTTATCAAACTTCTAAGTTTTAAGAATCGAAAGGTATTCAAAGTCCATATCTATCATGGCTTGAAGAGAAGGAATACGCTCTTCACGGATTCTATAAGATTGGAAAGAATTTTTGTACCTAGAGTACAATTCGTCTCTACGATGCTCAGGCATGTTAAAACAAGATCCTAATAGGATATTAGGTGGAGGAGGAACGGGATTTGGAGGTCGGGATGAACGACTCGACGAAGTCCTAGGGCGTTTAGGATTTGACATTTTTTTAAAAGGTTCGGAATAAGGAATGAAACCTGCAATTTGAAACACATGTATGCACAATAATCAATCTCAAAACTCAATTGAGTCTGCAATAATTCAAGGTTCTCTAAACCGAATCCTAATGGGCAAGATTTTGAAAACTATTTGAAAATAATCATAATATGTATAGTTTTCAGGAAAACAACATAAATACATCAAAAACATCAAATTTAAAAATTAAATTCAAATTTTTGATTATTTTTTTCGAAAATTAAAAAAAAAATCTTTGAAAAATTGGTTGTAAAATCTAGTTTGTAATCATCAAGCAATCAATGCCCGATATAATGTTCATCCTAGAACTAATTAAAACTATTCCTAAGATCTAAAATCAATAAAATAGAGGTTTTTGAAATATTACCTTGAAAATTTATGATTTGAGAGGAATAAGATGTTGTGTTGCACGATTTAATGATAGTAGCAGGATATAGAGATAAAAAGCTCGAAGATTCCAACAAATTTTCGTTGATTTTGAGCAAAAGGAGATTTAGAGAAAGAGAGGCGGTAAGGGAGTGTTTTTGAGGGTTTTGAAACAAAGAAGAAAATCAGGGTTTTTAACCAAAACCCGATGGATGCATCGATGCTTGGCCCTGTGCATCGATGCACATTCAAGGATGCATCGATGCACTGTTAGGTGTATCGATGCATTAAGCACAAAAATGTCAAAAATCCATTTTAAACACTCAAAATGCTAAATTAATTGGCCTAGTGGTATTGGCAACTCATATATTGAAAATTAATCATGTTCAATCAATCAAATTAATCCTTAAACTACTTTTGAACATAAAATTAATTTTCATCAAGCAACATAAACTCCCCCTAACTAATAGCAAAGACTGCAATAAAAAATTATTATCATAAGCATTTTTCATTTATTCTTAAAAGTGCTAAAACTTGTTTTAAACACTAACTGAATATAGGTCAGTTAAACCTAATTCTCTCTTAAGTGTCCAAAATTTTTCCTTGTCTAAAGGCTTTGTAAAAATATCCGCTAATTGGTGCAAAGTATCAACAAATTCTAGAACTACATCTTCTTTAGCGACATGGTCTCTAATGAAGTGATGTCTAATTTCAATATGCTTAGTTATAGAGTGTTGGATGGGATTTTTAGTGAGACAAATAGCACTAGTATTGTCAGACTTGATATGAATGATACCTACTTCAATTCCATAATCAAAAAGTTGTTGTTTCATTCATAAAACTTGTGCACAACAACTACCGGCTGAAATCTATTCCGCTTCAATGGTAGATAATGCCACACAATTTTGTTTCTTTGAAAACCAAGAAATTAGCATATTTCCAAGAAATTGGCAAGTACCGGAGGTGCTTTTCCTATCTAATTTGCATCCTCCATGATCCACATCAGAGAATGCATGCAAGCTAAAGCTAGAGTCTCTAGGATACAAAAGTCCTAAACTAGGAGTGTCCTTAAGGTATCTAAAGATCCTCTTAACAGCTAGTAAATGTGATTCCTTAGGGCATGATTGAAATCTAGCACATAAGAAAGCACTAAACATAATGTCTGGTCTACTTGCAGTTAGATACAGCAAAGAGCTAATCATTGACCTATATAATTTAACATCTACACATTTACCTCCTTCATCTATATCAAGCTTTGTTGATTTGAGGTTTCCCATTTTCCAGTCCAAACTTCTTGAGCATATATTTGACGTATTTAGCTTGATTGATGAAGATGGCATCTTTTCTTTGCTTGATTTGGAGTCCCAAGAAAAATGAAAGCTCCCCCATCATGCTCATCTCGAATTCACTTTGCATTAGCTTAGAAAATTCTTGGCAAAGAACATCATTAGTAGAACCAAATATTATATCATCAACATAAATTTGAACTACTAATAAATCTTTACCTTTATGCTTTAAAAACAATGTAGTGTCAACCTTCCCTTTGGAAAAACCTTTTTCAATTAAAAAGTTTGATAATCTTTCATACCAAGCTCTAGGAGCTTGTTTTAAACCATAAAGCGCTTTTGTCAATTTTAGAACATGATTTGGGAATTTTAAATCTTCAAAACTAGGAGGTTGTTCCGCATACACTTCTTCCTTTATAAAATCATTTAAAAATGCACTTTTAACATCAATTTGATATAATTTAAATTCATGAAAACATGCAAATGCTAATAACATTCTAATTGCTTCCATCCTAGCTACGGGAGCGTATGTTTCATCATAGTCTATGCCTTCTTCTTGAGTATACCCTTGAGCAACAAGTCTAGCCTTGTTTCTCACTATATTACCACTCTCATCAAGCTTATTCCTAAATACCCATCTAGTACATACAGTAGATTTATTACTAGGCCTTTCAACTAATGTCCATACTTTACTTCTCTCAAATTGATTTAACTCTTCTTGCATAGTCATAATCCAATGTTCATATTTTAATGCTTCTTTAATATTCTTAGGAACTATGCATGAGATAAATACAACATAATTAGAAATATTTCTAAGAGAATATCGAGTTATTACCCCTTTGGATGGATCACCTATAATCTCACCATCCTTGACATAGTTGTACTCTCTTGGGTAAGATACTTCCATTTCTTCAATGGTTGGATTCTCGGGAGGATCTTGAGTTTTCTCATCTTTCGTTTCTTCCTTTGATGATGGTTCTCCAACGTCATTTATATTTATAATACCTACATCATCATTCAAACAAGAATCCTTCCTCGGAAGGGGATTATCATCGAAAACAACATGTATAGACTCTTCTACAACTAAAGTTCTTTTTTATAAATACTCGATAAGCATTAGAATTTAAGGAATAACCCAGAAAAATTCCTTCATCACTTTTAGCATCAAATTTGCCAAGATTGTCCTTACCGTTGTTTAAAACAAAACATTTACATCAAAAATGATGAAAATAGCTAATATTAGGCTTTTTATTTTTGAAAATTTCATATGGAGTTTTCTTTAAGATTGGCCTAATCATTACTCGGTTTACAACATAACAAGCGGTATTTGTGGCTTCTGCCCAAAAAAAATTGGTAAATTGTTTTCACAAAGCATGGTTCTAGCCATTTCTTCTAAAGTTCGATTTTTCCTCTCAACAACTCCATTTTGTTGAGGGGTTCTAGGTGCTAAATAATTATGGCTAATACCATTAGAATTACAAAATCAGTAAAGCCAAGATTTTCAAATTCAGTTCCATGATCACTCCTAACACTAGTTATAGAGTAACCTTTTTCGTTTTGGATTACTTTTGAAAACGTGATGAATTTTCCTAATGCTTCATTTTAGTACTTAAGAATAGAACCCAAGTATATCTAGAATAGTCATCTACCAAGACAAATGCATATTGTTTTCCACCCAAGCTAGTAGTCCTAGTTGGCCCAAAAAGATCTATATAGATCAATTATAATACTCTACTAATTGATACATCATTAATGGATTTAAAAGAAATTCGCTTTTGTTTTCCTTTAGCACAAGCATCACATATTTTATCATTATCAAATTTAAGCTTAGGCAACCCTCAAACTAAATTTCCTTGAATTAGCCGTTACAAAACACTCATACTAACATGTCCTAGTCTCCTATGCCATAACCAACTATCATGCGCATCCTTAGCAACTAGGCATAAATTAGTCATATCAATAGAGTCTAAATGCACCATGTAAATGTTTCCTATTCTATGACCAACAAGCATAATCCGATTAGATGCAATGTAAATAACTTTACAACCATTAGTTTCAAACATGACATTGAATCCCTTATCACATAATTGACTAATACTTAAGAGATTATACTTTAATCCATTCACATATAAAACATTTTTAATTTGTATGGAAAAGGTATTACCTATGGTACCTATACCTTCGATGTGACCTTTTGAATTATCACCAAAAGTCACTTCTCCTCTATTTTTGGCGTTAAGGTCTATGAACCGACTTTTGTCTCCGGTCATGTGTCTTGAGCATCCACTATCAAGGTACAATGAGTTTGAATTTGTTTCCCGTGCCTTGTAGCAATGCTCCTTTTCCTACAAACATAGATTAATTTTTTAATTTTTGGTACCCAAATTCTTTTGGGTTCATATTCATTAGTTTCCAAAATCCTAGTCCCCTTAGGTATCCATTTGTGTAGGATATCATTATCTTTAGTAGTAACTAGTCCTTTAGGAACCCATATACTTCTAACGATTTTTCCATTAGAGGTTCTTCGGGGACCTCTATGATTGTAGTTTTTAAAACTTTTTCTAACAAAGTTGGATTTTGAATTTTCTCCAATTTCAAAAGGTTTTGTTCCAACTTTATCAAAATAAGCTTTAAGATCATCAATTTTCTTTTGATGATCATCATTGACCTTTGAAAGTAAATTTTGCAAATTCGAATTTTTCTTTTCAAACTCTTCTAATTTGATTTGCAAATCTTTGATTTTACTTTCAATATCGTTGTTGGTTTTGGATATGAGTTTATTTTCATTTTTTAATTTTGAAATATCATTTTTATATTTTAAAAACAATTTCTCATAATCCAAAGCCAACCCATTATATTCCTCTAATAACTCATCATAAGATAAATCAACTAAATCAAATGAGTTAGAGGTTACCTTAGAATCTTCCCCGAATGCCATCAAGCACAAGTTTGCTACTTCTTGTTCCTCTTCATCGGAACCTTCTTCATCGCTCCATGTAGCCACATGAGCCTTGTGCTTATTCTTTGATTGACCCTTTCTCTTCAATTGTGGGCAATCATATTTGACATGCCCCGGCTTTTTGCATTCATAGTAAATGATAGGGTCCTTCTCTTTTGGTTTATTTTTTAGGCCTTCATTTCGTTTGAATTTTCTTCCTCAGTAAGGTCTCATCATTTTTCTGAACCATTTGACAAACAATGTCATTTCCTCGTCATCGTCATCGTCATCTGAATTACTATCATGTTTTGTGGATTTGAGAGTAACTCCAATGTTTTTCTTTTTCTCCTTCTCCTTTGGTGTCTCGTCAATCTTATCGAGGTCCACCTCATCTTCAAGCATCATTTCATGAGTGAGGAGAGAACCGATTAGCTCTTCAAGAGTTAAGGACTTTAGGTTCTTAGCCTCGATGATTGATGTCTTCTTGGATTGCCACGATTTTGGAAGTGAGTAAACTAACTTCCTCACAAGCTTTTCGTTTGGAATGATCTCTCCATATGATTTGAGACCATTTACAATTGTTGAGAATCTATCCTTCGTAGCTTTGATATCTTCATTTGGTTTCATCCTGAAATTTTCATAGCTATGTGTTAGAAGACTAATTTTATATTCTTTTACCTCGTCGGTGCCTTCATGAGTGACTTGTAGTTTATCCCATATTTCTTTGGCGGTTGTTCAAGATGAAACTCTTCCATATTCATCTGGTCCAAAAGCACAAAATATGATATGGATGGCTTTGGAGTTGAGTTGGAACATTCTTGTCTCTCCTTCACTCCACAATCTTGGATGAGTGGGAGGCTTGATATATTCGTCTTCTACAACATTCCATGCTCTCATGTCACTTGCTTGAATGAAATACATCATCCTATTCTTCCAATAGGCATAGTTAGCTCCATTGAAGAAATGAGGCTTGTTGACGGGCATCGAATCGAGACCGGAGTCGACATTTGAAGTAGAGGCCATTGATGACTTGATAATAGATGTAACTCTTCCCGAATCGACTCAAGAGACGATTAAACCTTCAAATGAGTGAGGCTCTGATACCAATTGTTGAGTTAATCGATCGATGGAATCGGTCAAGAGGGGGTGAATTGGCAATTAAAAATTTGGTGGAAGCTTTTGCAGAAAATTGAAAAGATTTGCACAGCGATTTAGAGTGGTTCGACTTTCTTAACCAAAGTCTACGTCCACTACCTTAGCTATCCACACTAAGGATTTTCCAACAAATTATCTAATTTGTTCTTTCTTTTGAGGCCAAAGAGATAACTTTACAAACTCCCTCAAGAATATACCCCAATTCTTGAGAACACTCTTTCTCAAAGAGAATATTATAAATTTGCAAACTTACAAGGAAAAAACTCCCAAGGTAATATATTTGCACAATTCTACAACAAGATAAGAACACTCAAAGATGATTACAAATGAGCACAAATAGTGTTCTTGAAAGAAAAATGAATTTTGAAAGGAAATTTGGCTTGAATTGCACAAACTTGATGTTTAATGCTTTCTCTCTTGTTTATCTATTGATTCTTCTTCATTTTTTGTTGATCAATGGCTTCTAGACTTGTTTAAATACTCCTTCAAATGATTCTGAATGGTGGGGGTGTGAAAACAATTAATTAAAGCAGTTGGGAGCGTCAGTGCATCGATGCATACCCATGGTGCATAGGTGCATCAGTGTAAAATTCAAATATTTTGACCGTTGGACCCTTA